AGCAGCACTGACCAGGACCCAAGACTCAGCTTCACTATAAGTCTCGTTCTGTCTATTCTTTAACCTTTAGCTGGTGCTGTGGTGGCTCGCAGGAGGCTGGGACCTACTTCAGGGTCTCCAGTGACATCATTTCCCCTGACTCTTACATTCTATTAGCTCAGACTTAATTATATCTGTCTGATTTCTGTATACGTATAGCCATTTTCTCTAGAATATCCCTCTTCATAAAGAATTGTAAGAATTTTGGACTTGCTTAGGTTTCCAACTTGGGGGTCTTTTGACCTTCTGCTCCCAATAAAGCATCTTTTGGAGGTAGAATTGTTTTCTAACCCCTCCTCTTCTACAGACTTCCTTCTCTCCTGTCATTCTTGTTCAAGGAAGGAGAAGGCCACACGAGTGTTGTATGCAGGTGATTTGGGGCTCTCTGCAACAGTACAAATGCAGTGGGAAATCACCCACTTTCCAATATTCCCATGTCGGTTCTGAGCTGATTCATCAAAAATGGTAATACACGCTCAACTCTACCCTTTCCCATTATGATTATTAACTCTCATTCAGGTTTGAGCCACACAAATTTTCATAAATGGCAGTGAGAAAATTCAAAATAGAAAAGCATATATTTTATAAAAGAGAAGAAAACATTCTTTGTTAGAGTCTTTCACTTACTTTACTGTTTTTTTGTTTTGTTTTGTTTTTTTGTTTTGTTTTGTTTTTGGTACCAGGGATCAAACTCGGCCCTTGCACTTGTGAGGCAGGCAGCAGAACCACTGAGCGAAATCCCCGGCCCCACTTATTGAACTGTTTTTAAAACTTTTACAATGAAAGGTCTACCGCTTGGGAATCCTTCCTCTGAAATAGTTGTCAGACTTCTCTGGCAGCTTCAGATTATGTTTATCACTCGCATAATTTTAGCTTGTTCTAAAATCATGCATTCTCTTTAGTAACTCTTTTCTTCATTAAGCAAGTCTTTTAAGGTGCCCTTCAGATTGCCATAAAATGATTTAATATTGCAGAAGGTTTTGATTCAGTATGTCAAAGATTTGCCACAGTAAGCATAATTGTTAACCACTAGTTTCCATTCCCTCTGAAGCAGTATTCTAAAAGTCTTGAAATTATTTGCTCTTTCTAAATACCCTTTGGCTGCTTTCAGTAAGATAAATAGCTTACAGAGATATAAACTGAGACTGTTTGTCTGAACGACTATTAAAATATCAGTCTTGATCTCAAGAGAATTTTCATTTGATCCTCTAACCTCAAGGATAAAGTAAGTATATTTGCAAAAGCAGTAAACCTGTCGGTACCTTTTTTGCTGATATCATTGTTATCTTAATCGAAAATTCTTTATCTATCAAATAAGCAGGCTTGCATTTGACTACACATCAAACGTGGAGGGAATATTGAATTTAATAGGATAGTGGCCAAATTGATTTGAAACATCTTACACATCAGGGCAGATTGCTTTTGGTTTTCATGTGCATTATTAATGCCTGGTTATTCCATAATGTGTATATAAAAGAGACACTTTTAATGTGTTTATCTAAGGTTAACATATCATTTTTAAAATCACATATATTTATTTGCTTTCATAGATAAGAACTGGAGGCAACAATGTGATCTGAGAGGCTAGCAAGAAAGGTGGTAAAAGTTCACCTGCAAATAAAAGAAAACTGATCTCAGATCAGATACTTGATAGGTCTCTATGAGTAGATGATTAACATTTTTATTCTTCCACTTAGTGCAGTTTAATTCCAAATTTATACCATGTGTATTTGTTTAGTAGTACAGCTATGATTAGGAAAAATGTGGGAGAAAGAGTAGTTGTGAAACATTTTTTAAAATGTAGTCCAAAATATTAACAATGCTTATGCCTTTATGGTAAAATTGCAAGTAATTTGTTTTATTTTTTGTTGTTTCGTCATCAGTGAAATGTTATATAATTAAAGTTTGTCCTTTTTTTTCAAGTTATGTAATTAAAGTTGTCAATTGTAAAAATGACAGATACACAAAAAGTTAGCAGTGCATAATTTGAAAAACGTATTTCTTGTTTAGGAAAAAAAAAAACTGGCTGGGAGTGTAGCTCAGTGGTAGAGCACTTACCCAGTGTGCACAAGGCCCTGGATTCCCTTCCTAGCACCCTAATTAATCAGTCAGACTTCATACACTTGTATTTCCTTAGTTTTCATCTGATATTACATTGTTAATGCTAGTGGGAAAAATCACATACGTTTTCAGGTTTCTGGTATCATCCGCAATGCTCTATTTGGAGTGTACTTTTTCTAATTTGGGCTTATTCTGATTTTGAACCCTGCATATTTTTGCCTTAATTTTTTTTTAGTTTACATATACAATTTAATGTTTTTCAGTACAGATATTTATACCAGTCTCAGCCAATAACAATGTGGTGTGGCCTATGTTCAAGGCTCCTGTGAAGGAATATAGCTTTGTGACCTGAGCTTGTTGTGATAATGTCTCTGAACAGTACTTAAATAGAACTGATGGGTCTCAAAAGGTATTTATATTTTTCTAAAATTGAGCTCCTAGTTCCTTTACCGTTCCAGGTCATTGTGTTGATCAAATAGAAAGAGAAGCAGTACAATTGAGTTACTTATATTTCAGCCATTGCCCTTAGAGACAAAGACAGCTATTGATTTACACAACACACACTGTTGCCATAAATCCTCTCAAAGCTGCTCAGTTCTTAGATCCATGCCTACTGTATTTTTTCCTACTATATTTTTTTTCTCATTGAGTTTATTGGTACATCTTAGGTAAACTGTACAGTTACATTCATCATTGGGATCTTGTACCCTTACATGACAGGCCTTGGTTCTCATTTTTTCCCCATACCCCAGCCCTCCCTTCACCCCCTCCTCCCTTCCCTATCCTATGCCTGATTTTTGAAAAGTACAATTCATTATGAATGTGTATACCACCTCTAATAAGTTATACAATATTTCTCATGACACATCTCAGTTTATCTTAAGAATTACAGAGGATTACAGTAATAAAGCAGTGTAGAGAACTCCAGAGTGAAACCGTGATGACTATATCCCTCCTGTGCCCACAGAGTAGTGCTTTAAAAGGCCATGTGACTGAGTAAATAAAGTTTAGGACTATAAAACATACAGCTTCAGTGCTTGGAGTCTTACTTTGTATGAGATTTGGTATTGTAAGTAAATGCAGTGCCCTTATAGGACATCTGAGTCTGCAATCCCTGATATAGTCCAGCTCCCTTAGTTGTCCCATTTGGTTAATGATCTAACTCTCTTCCCAATACCTTTTCTTCCACTTTGGATTTTAAGGGCTCGTTGATGCCAGAGATTTAAGTAAAATCAATGACCTATAATAGCTACAGGTAAATACATCTCTAAGCAAAGCATTAACTCAGTTGAAACATATAAAAATGAAGTAAGAAACTAGAGTTATAGGGCCAGGGACTTAGCTCACTGGTACTGCCACCTGCCTCGCAAGTGCAAGGTCCCGAGTTTGATCCCCAGTACAAAAAAAAAAAAACTAGGGTTATAGCTCAGTGACAGAGTGCTTGCCTCACATTTTCAAGGCCCTGAGTCCAATCCTAAGCATTGCAAATATAATTAAAATTAAGTAAGAAAAGAAAAAAATGGAGTCAATATCAAGGTATGGAATAGATTAGTCATTTTGAAGCACTGATTTGAATATAATATGTAAAAATTAATTATAATCACTACCACATATTGCGTATTTGTTCGGCACGAACTTACTTAGATGCATTATATACTTTTTAAGTTAGACTTGCTTTATTTTTTTTCCATTGAGTTTATTGGTACTTTTTAAGTATGCAGTACAGTTACAATTATCATTGGGATAATGTACCTTTAAATGACAGATCTTGGTTCTCATTTTTTTACCCCATACCCCTGCCCTCCCTTCACTCCCTCCACCCTTCCCTATTTACAAAGACTTTGTTTCCTTTTTTTTATTCTCTCATATTTTTTTCTTTTCCCTTCTTTCCTGCATTATATGTTATTACACTCGATTCTCAGACTATAAAGCAGATTTGTATTATCCCATTTTACAGATGAGGGAACTAAGGCTTAAAGGAATTGTTTGTCCAACTCTCATGCCTAGTAATTGGGTCAAATTTCTTTTGTATCTTTTAAGTATTTCCCCAACATATATTAAGACTTGAACCACCAGGCCAGTTTTCATTTAGGGTTAAAGTCCAGGTTTGAAACTATCCTATTAACACTTTCTATACTACCATGAGCTCTCTCCTAGGGATAATAATTTTGACCTTCAGTCAACATCAGTGCACTAAACATTGTAGATAGAGAGGGAGTTAGGGAAGAATGTTTGGTGAAAGGGGACCACAGACAGAACCATTGGAAAATAAAGCGTTTATCTGTGGAGTGTGGGCATTGAAAGCTTACAGAACCCTAATTAAGTAACCACTGTTGATGTTAGGGACTGTGTGATGAGAGCCTCAAATTTGGATATGGAGAAACACAGACTTATATTTTAAAGGTAAATTATCTGGTATAATCTGATGGAGGGAAAACCTTCATTCCTTATTTTTTTACTCTAAAATGTGAGCTGAAAATGTGCATATCTCCAAGTCTTAAAAAAGAGTCTTGGATTTCAACCATTTTAAGGAGGGTCCAGAGTAGCATACTGATGTACAGATAATCCCCAACTAATAATGGTGGGACTTACTGAGACTCTGTCATACACTATGCTGCCAACTGTGATGTGCAGTGTCTTAGGTTTATGAAATGCATTTTCAATTTAATGATACTTTCAATTTATGATACTTTCATTGGGACATAACACCATCTAAGTTGAGGAGCTTCTGTGTTTATAATTCCTTGTCTTAGAATATAGAGATTGTAAGTCAATTGAACCAACAGATCCAATTTTAGTCGTTCATTCATTATGTTCATTGAATCCAAATAGTTGTTCATCTGATGTTTCCCATCATTTGATCACACTGAGTTCTGATGTATTTTGTTTTGTATTTTCAGAAGGAGTTTTGGAACACCTACACAAAAGCACACCAAGGAGAGAGTAACAGAGGAAGTGACTGGTTTCAGTTTTACCTTACCTTTCCATTAATTTTTGGCCTCTTTATTATCCTCCTTGTCATTTTCCTAATCTGGAGATGCTTTCTAAGAAACAAAACTCGTAGACAGACAGTGACTGAAGGCCACATTCCTTTCCCTCAGCACCTTAATATTATCACTCCTCCTCCACCACAAGATGAAGTGTTTGATAGCAGTGGATTGTCTCCAGGCTTTCTGGAATATGTAGTTGGGCGCTCAGATTCTGTCTCCACTCGCCTGTCCAACTGTGATCCACCACCGACCTATGAGGAAGCCACTGGCCAGGTGAACCTACAGAGAAGTGAAACAGAACCTCATTTAGATCCACCCCCAGAATATGATGACATAGTCAACTCCAGCTCAGCCAGTGCCATTGCTATGGTGCCTGTGGTCACCACCATCAAATGAAGCTACAAACTTTATACTGTCATCATTTTAAAAATACTAATGAAAGAACTTTCTAGCACTTTACCACTACATAAATGTACATTGACTTATTTTATTAAACTCTTACAGCATACCACTTCACCATTACTGGTCTGATTTACTTTAGTGTTGTTTCCAGTACAAAATCATTATGTGTGCTCATTTTTGCTAGAGTAAATATGTGAAAAGGGAAAACACACCAGTTGGTGTATTCATGCACGGAAATATACGTTAAGTCAGTGTATGTGCAATTATCTTAAAAATCTATTAACTTCTATCTAAATCACCTTCAAAGAGAGCATTACTCACAAAAATTGGGGAAAAAAGAGACATTGACAATTTATGTAATAGATAGCAAGTAACATGTTACAGAATTTTGCCAAATGTATGTACCTAGCATGTTTTCTAATTTTTATAGGCTTTTGTGAAGCTCTGGTTTCCCCATCTACCTTAAAAAGGGAAAAATGTGTGGAGTCACTCTTGATTTTAGGAATATCTCAGAAAGAAAGCATATTTACATAGTGAGGAATGACTTATTATAGTTATAGAAAGGAAATTACTGGTCAAGTGTGATCGGTGCCTCACTTTATACTAGGACTTTTATTCTTCCCCAAATGAAACACTTAGCTTGGCTTAGCATCTTTGAATACCTAATGCTATTTATATTAACATCTCACTGGGGAGGATTTCTGGCAATAGAATAAATTCTAAGTGGATATATATATATATATATATTTAATAACAGATATGGATTATTCCTTTGCTTCTGGGAAAGAGTAATAATTATTTTCTTCTTCCCATTTCATAGCCTTTTAGTCGCCTGTTTACGCTGTCTCCTACCACCATAGAATCTTCAGTCACCCAAGATTTTAGTTAAAATAAAACTGAGATTGTTTTCTTGAAGTCTTTGCCTGAAGATTATTAGGAGACAATTTTCTATTACATTATGTGCTGTGATTTTTTTATTGCTCTTCACTTGGTGCAAAAATATTGTAAAGAATTTGTTATGGCAGATGGACACTAAATTATAGCCACACCTAGATCTCATTATTGTTGCTATTTCATTTTGAATTTTCATCAGACTTCTTAAAACTACAGTGCTTTGGCTTTTCCTTTGGAGCAGAGGGGACTGGCCATGAATGAACTGCCAATATAAACTGACTCAGAAAGGAAAATGGGGTCAAAGGAAATATTTTGTGTGCAAGTAATTTGTAAAATATTAAGAGCTATTCAAGTGTAAGATCCTTGTGTTATTATTGTGCTTCATAGGGGATTTTCTCCAAACTTGAGTGGAGCTTTCACATAGTGAAAAATGGATCAGGCTGCTCCATAAATCGTCAACATTACTAACCTATGTGAGTGGACTGTTACTTAATCCCTCCAACTCACTGATGTACACCAAAGCTGTGCCAATTTAAGGATAATTGCCAACCAGCAGAAACAGCATGAAAAATGTTGGAAAACAAACCAAAGTGTTTCAGTTAGATAACAGGTGTCATAGCTTTCATAGACTAAAAAATGATCATATCTTGATAATTTCAGAAATGACAATTATTTTGAATTATGCCATGCATACATGGTGACCTTTGGTTTCCAATACATATGAAAGTGGGAGTGTTTGATCCAGCAGTGATTTATGTATGTGTGAAGATTTGGTTTGTTTTTAATGAAAATTAAGGCTCTTTTTGTGTAGACTTTTATTGGTAGCACCAGGCTTTATATTAGAGCAGCACTTTTCCAAGTATGGCCCTTGGATTCCTGGAGTTCTTGAAAACCTTCCAGAGGATCTATGAGGCCAAAATATTTTCATCATATTACTAGTACATTATTTGTCTTTTCACTATGATTTTCTCAACAAAGATTTGAAAATGTGTAAAACAGTGTCCCTACACATTTTTTTCTGTTTTAAAAAACATGACTATTTTTCATTAAAATTTTATTTATGTTGGCATATAAAGAATTTTTAAACTTTTAAGTGAATTAACACTTAAAATTTTGGTTTATTTTCTAATATACATTTTAATGGAGGTAACTCTCAAACAAAAGCTCTTGGCATCCAGATCCCCATTAATTTTTTTTTTTTTTTTTTTTTTTTTGTTACCAGGGGTAGTTTGGGGC